CTATATCTATATATATATATATATATATATCTCCAGCTCCAGCTCCTAAATCAAAACAATGTGACTCTATGTGAAGTCCTGTTCACAGTCGTTTGCCTGCTCTGTTATTTTTCGTCAGGCGACACGTCAGGGCAGCCCCCCCTCCACTAGCTAGCCCTGCATTTAAGGCTAGGAAAAATCCCCACGGAGGCATCGCGAGGCCACTGTGGGCCCTGTTGGCTGTTTACATCAGTGGAACATGCAGAGGATGCAGGCAGGCTGTGTAACTCATTTTGGAAAGCTTATTTGGCACAGATGTAGTGACGGCCCTGCTGTTTGTGAAAAGCAGGGACGGCTTCTTTTTTTTTTTTTTGGTGTTTGTTAAAATCAAGACTTTGTCAGATAAAACCCACAGATTATTTGATGCATAATGGATCAGATCCCCGCTGTTGATATAGACAGTGGCCAAATTTAATATAAGCCCACATTCGGTTTTATCAGTGGAGTAGATTTCGGACGCTGCTTTTATTGATTCGTTTTGAAAATGTGACAAAAAGAGACATAGTTTTTCTTGTGCCTCCCATTATAATCAATACTATTGCGATCCTAGCATTCTGTCTCGAATTACCCATGCAGTTGTCACAGCTGTGGCATTGGCACAGAATGATGAATGGGGCCCATGTATGTCTGCAGATAAGACGTGTCATGTCATGTTAGGGTTGTTTATGTAGGTCATTGAGTCTTTATGTCTATGAGAAATGCCCAGATTATGTGACACAGCACAATTGTTCAGGGATGATGTATAAATAGGTCTATTCTGGAGTGTGCAGGATGATTCCTCTCCTGGTAGTTTTAGCTCCTGCTCTGTTCCCTCACCCTTGTGGTTTGAATGCTATTTTGACCAGTGTGCCAATTTTCTCTGTTCAAGGCCACACCGTGTCTACGCAGTCCTGCTTGTGCACAGACAGATTCATTTATCCAGTCTCAATAGATAGGTACATAAATAAACACTGCAAACATGTTGACTTAGTGGCTATGAAAACACCAATGAGTGCACATCATTTTTTTTTTTTTTTTTTTTTTTATTGACATAAACTGTAGCTCTCTGGCCATTTCTCTGCTTTATTATGATGTAGAGATGTGGGAGCAAATATTATTAGTTAGAATTGCCTGAATTAAACATCACCAGCAGGGAACATATCAAGCAACAGAAATGGGCTTGGAGCAACTTAAGTTTGATGACCTGGCCTGAACCAGTTTCTAGTTTGTGATATTAGCTAACCTTGCTCATCATGTCATGTTGCTAATCATTAAATCTATTTCAAGCTGAAAACACATTCTAATATCTGGGAACCAGACAAATTAGTTTGGACAGATTTCCAGCAGCCTGGCCAATCCCAACCGTTTATCGGACACAGGGCGTGTTTGAGACGATGGCTGTGCAGAGGAGCGCTGTTAAGGCAATTTTAAAAAACAACCAAGATGGCTGCTGATGTGAAACTTTTCTGTTGAAGCCGCAATGGCGTCAGTTTCATTGAACTGCATGGTATGTTTTTGCTAAAAGAAGAAAAATCACCCACACTTCTCAAGCTTAGTGTTTACTGAACTTCCAACAGGATTTAGCAAAAGTTTCATACACCAACTCATGATATACCAGCTGATCTCTACCTTTTCCCCCACCTGTTTTGCCTCATGTCCCGCCCAAATATACTTTGATTGGCTGGTACTGCTATGTTATGATTGGTCATCTTCACTGGTCCCTGGTAGCTCAGCGCTACGTCACATGTTGCGTTGCTCTGATTGGTTGAAGCTCTATCCAATTGCGTCCAGAGGCATTTTGTTCTTTGCCACCGATAACGCCCCCTGGGAAATGGAAAGGGAACTGAGAGGAAACTATTTTGCATTTGCGAATTGTTCCGGCGATGTCATGCTAATCCTAATAAGCTGTATGATGATTTTAAGAGTTTGGACCGATGGTAGCAACCTTTAGTATAGTACAAGTCTTTAGTAGGAGCAGAGGTGTTGCGCCCTTCTGTTGCCTATTCAACATGCACAACATTGTCGCTGGATGGTAGACGCAGCAGCAACCACACGCTGTTGGCCAGGTGTTGATATAACTGTCGATCAAAGGCTTTGCAATGCAATAAGTGAAGTACTTAAAGCTGCTTTAATCAGTATTTTTTATATTGACAATCATTTGACTGTAATGTATGTGGTGGTTAGCGCTGTCTCCTCACAGCTAGAGGGGCTCGATCCCGGGCTGCCAGGCCCCTCAGTGTGGAGTTTGCATGTCCTCCCTGTGTCAGTGTGTTTTTTCTCCAGGTTCTCCTCCCAGAGGCCAAAGACATGCAGCTTAGTTTAATTGAAGTCTCTAAATTGCCCGGTGATCGCCTGGCAACCGGTCCGCCTTCGCCCAATATCAGCTGGGATCGACTCCAGCCCCCCCCCCCCTGGATAGGATAAGAGGTTACAGATAATGAATAGCTTCTTTTAGACCCACTGTTTCCTACCTGCCCAGAACCAAATGGCTGACTAGCAACTAGCTGGTAAACTGGATGGGAGCATTTAGCAGCTAAAGAGCCAGATTTCCATGAGGAGTCACTCCAAAACAGATCTAAAGATGGACACAACCTAACATTATTGGTAAAGTTGCTCTGCTGCATGTGTAAATAATAAATTGTTTGCGAACAACTTCTTAAGGTCAATGATATGCACATGTTTGGATTACAATGTGTTGCGCTGCCCCCAAGGGTCCCACAAAAATCAATGAATGCAGCTTAAGCTCCTGCACTTGTGGCAGCACTTCACTCCAAATCTGTCGGGGATAATTCCCCTTCTTACGACACGAACCATGAGACGCTGACCCTCATCCGAACCACTCTGATGCAAAACCTCCCCAAGTGATGTAGGTCACAGCCTGACAAAGCTACAGCAACTGACAACTCCATCTATTGGAAAAAAATCTGACATGAAATCTTTAGGTCAACAAAGAGGGTTGGACATCCGCCAATCCTTGGCTATGCCTTAAAAATCTGTCCTTGTGAACAAAAAAATAAATAAAAATCACAAACAGAATGACCAAGCACAATAGAGTCATCTACTGAGAAAGCGCTTGACAAGGTGCCAAGAGTGAGGACAAAGCTTCTGGTCCAGTTATACAAGGACCTAATTGCTCATAGGAGCAGCCCCAGTGGCCCATAATCCCAGAGCTGTCCCTTCAGGACACCTTGGACTTGTTCAAGTCCTACTTTCACACAGAGAGTCAAAGAGAAACGGTACTGCAGAAACAAAAAGCAATATTCGAGCACTGCTAGAAGTTAGAAATCGTTGCCGTGTGCTCATTAAAATTATGGCTAATGGCAGTTTTTTTTCTAGGTTTCTTTGTGGCTGCATTGCATTTTTATGAAGTGGGTACTGTAGGTGGAGTGAAAGAATGATGAAACAGGGTTGGGACCGCTGTATTTAGCTACGGTAACTTTTTTTTAAACTATGGGTGTTTCCCAAAGTCAAGGAAAGAGCCTTCAACGGCTGAATTTCAAGAACGCTAGCTCACCGAATGCCACCGAAAAACTGTTCCAATTGACTTCTACCGAGCGCCGAGTCCTCGTTAAGAGAATTCCAAGGATGCATGTGTGTATCCTCCGCGCTCCTAAAACACCCAATATTAAATGCCTTTCCTTTCCAAACCAAACCACAGTTAGTGATTGTTTTAAGTAAAACGGCTAGGCTAACCAAAACGGGTTTGATGAGTCATATTTGGTTTCTGTTGAGTATGAATGAAGTTTGCTTTACTTCAGCGAGTTATAATTGCTATGTTTTTATTAATGGAGTCTGGTAGGTTTGAGGAGGGCATAAAGGCTGTTTCTTTTTGCATCTAACATGGTGAATTAAGGGTTTGTATTAAGACTTTATTTTGACCAAACCAGAGTTGGGGATCGTATTAACAGTGCCAAGACAAGACAGTCGTGATGAGTTTTATTTGGTTTCTATTGAGTTTGAATGAAGCGTTTTTTTTTTTTTTTACAATAGACGAGGTACATTTCAGTTTTGAAAGGGCCCCACACATTCACACAGCGATCCTGGCTGAGTCCAATCTTGTACTCAGGTTTAAGTTTGGCAGATCTTTGATGGGGATCCGATGAGGTATCTAAAGTCCACATACTACTATTACGGAGGGCATTTGTGGTTCAGGAGCGGGTTTTATTATCTTCTCATAGTGGATGGTTCAATCCCCGGCTCTGCCTGCCCATGTATCGCTGTGTCCTTGAACAAGACCCTGAACCCCGATTGCTCCCAGTCAGGAAGCCACCACCTTGAGTTCTACCCCCATAGGTGTGTGCTAAGCACTGTGGGTGAAAGTGCTTTATACAGTTAATTTTCATTATTTATTAAAGGCAGGGTTGGTAATCTTGAGAAACTAGCAAGATTACGCTAGATTTCAAAAAGTATCCAAGGTTAAATGTGCCAATCCTTCTTCAATAAAAGTAGCAGCTCGAGCTCCAAAAGTTGCTAATCTAGCAAGAAAGTCGCCAAGACGGCAACACTGACAAGCCCGTCCCTTCAGGCCTCCTTCCAAAGACACTCCTCCAAAATTATCGTGATGAACGTAAACAACGAACATGACTATTGTCAGCACTCGCAGCTGTTAATCTAGCAGCTTGAGCCAGACTCCGGTAATGAGTGTAGACAGGCAGAATACGTGCAGGTAGACGGGCAGGCAGCCTGAATAAAACGATTGGACGGGCCGTTACAGTCCTGCGACAGCCACAGATACCAGATCTTTTTTATTTTTATTTGTTATGATTGATTGATTGATTGATTGATGTCAGGATGATTGAGAATTTCAACAAAATATCAAAAAAAAATGTGAAGAAAGATTACCAACCCTGCCTTTAAGTTGTATGAATAAAATAGTATGATAAAATAGTTTGTACCACGCCCATGTAGTCATGAGAGGTCTAATCAGGGATCATAGGTGAAAACAGTGTGTAGGGTCTTCAAATGGTTTAAAACTTATTTTCATAGTTTTGGCCGTAATGCCTTTCTGTAATAATAATCTCTCTTTGCAACAGAATATTATTAGCCATCTATACCAACCACCAATTACAGTCAGACTGGATAGATGGCATACCGTTAGCTTGCGTGTTCAGATTGGCTACCCTCGATTTTCTATTGTACGGTGGAAGTGGGTTTCGGTGAGAGCTGTACAGACTCAACCGTTTGCACCAGCATGTTACGAGCAGTGTATTTCGGTGTATTTGTCAGTTGTTGTTGGTATTTTTTGTGTGGCATACCTACTGTGTTTCGGGCCAAACAATTCTTAATATCTTGCACTGTAAGTGCTGACCATACCCGTGTACACAAACGGGCAATATGTTACCCTGCACTGCACGGCCAGACCTGAGTATTAGTGCTTTTTACTCTTCTGCTGCTGCTGGCGGGAAGAGGAAGAGGACAATGTGGCGCTGTGGCCTTTGTTGCACTTGATGTTATTGAACCGATAGATTTTGCACTTTCCCCCCTGCTTGTGATCAAGCCCAGAACCCGGGATGTGATTACTGGTGTCCTAGTAAGCAATTACGGCCTCACTGTGCTGCGGGGGTGAGAGCGGGACATTAACCTTTCGATCCTTGACCTCTAGTAGAGCGGTTCAATGTCACATAACAGCTGAGAGCCTGCTTTCTCAAGAGGACAGTTTATTTCAGTTAAGTAGTTCGCATTTTCATGGAAAGGTTGCAATTTGGAGTACTGGTGTAGCAGTAGCTAGTTTTGTTGTAGTTGGAGGTTCACGTCTCTAAAACACCCGAACAGAGTTTCTGTCATTTAAGGGTAGCTGTTGTTGAAAGTAGCATGTCCCCTACCCATCTATGCAGCAGTAGGGAGACCTGCTGGCCTACTGGCGACTCATTTTCACAAGGAGCAGTTAAAAATAAACGCCACGAATGTTGCTGTGACCATCGGACCAGACAATCTCGCTCGCGCGCGCGCGCACACGCACACACACGTGTCAAGCATATGTTTATATTGTGTGTATTGCTAACGTTCTGCAAATTCTAATGCACTTTAATTAAATATGATGACGGTTTTGGGGAACGGTTGCATTAAATCGATCTCCTGTAAGCACTGTACTCGGTGTGATGAGTGTAAATGTTACATCAAATTCCCCAAAAAAAGTGAAGTATGTCATAGTTAAATATAGAACACAACACTAAGCTTGGTTTCAGTCAACTAGTACATTTGATCATAACGTTATGTCCTGTATGTTCCCAGCCGACACACACACACACACACACACACACACACACGGCAACAGCCTCAAGGTGTCTGCTGACAGCCAGCTGCTGCTTCGTTTAAGGTTACAGCCTATCTACATTTCATACATGCGCGCACGCGCACACACACACACACACACACACACACACACACACACACACACACACGGAGCTTACAATGACTTTATCAGAAGAGGCGGAGTCAGTCACTGGTGTGATTTGCATGTAACAGAAAGAGATGCACATGTTTACTCTAGAGCCTAGATGGCAGTTACACAACATGCTGCTGAACACGGTAGTCTCTCTCTCTCTCCCCCCCCCTCTCTCTCTCTCTCTGTCTCTGTCTCTCTCCCTCTCTCTCTCTCTCTCTGTCTCTCTCTCATATGACCCGAGGGATTGCATAAGCAGCCATCTGAATATAGGATGACAGATAGTATTGACTGTTTGTGCTTGAATCTAATTGAATCTAATTGGTCCAGAGACAGTACATTTACCACTGTATGTAAAGTCTATTATCTGTACGCATGCACAAAAATCCATGTCGCTTATAATGCAATTGTAGAAAAGTCACCTTAGGAAAAGTATGGGGGTACTAAGAGTCCTCTGTGAGCTTATGACTCATCACTAGAAGTTATTGCAGGTCCCGGTGCATCAAGTCAAAGTGTTAGATGAGACTGTGTCTGATCTGTGGATTGATATGACGTCGGAGAAAACGAAGTATGACAAAGAGGAGCTTGTTCGTGAAACAAAGGCTCAGGGATGGAAAAATAAAAGCTCTTGATAGATCACATTTACCAACTCTAGAACATCAGATGAGATAAGCTCAGACGAGCAAATCAGTGGAAAACCAAAGGCATTATCAGATTTGTGTCATATCATGTGTTTATAGTCACGTTAAGTTCACGGCACACAAGAGTTTTGAAATGTAAAAAAACATGCATAAAATGTCCACATAGCGAATAGGGATATAGTCTATTTTCTTTTTAAAAAGAAGCAGAAATTCCATTATTTTCTAAATGTTCCACTGCTACATGTGAGGAAGAGTTTGAAGCTGCAGTTAGATTTGCGAGACACAACAATTTTAAAGATGCTCAAAAACAGTTGCTACAAGATTATATCATACCATGAGAAAACAAAGATTTATTTATTTTTTTTCCACGAGCAGTCGGCTTTCCCTCCACTGGCTTTGGAATTAAACTCAGCCAACAACCGAACATGTTTGGGGAAACGGTCTTGTCTGCTACAGAATCAGCAGTCACATTTCCAACGTTATTCTAAAGCGCCATTTTGCGAGTGAAGGAAAACTGTTAATGGCAGGTTAATGCCACTTTGTCAACGGTTTGGTTTTATTCTTTCCAGATGAAGAAACTCGATGCCACCCTAAACCTTGACAATACATTTCCTAGAAGAGTTGACTTCTTACATGAAATGATGTTGCCATGTGGTTCACGTACACCTTGTAATTCTCCTCTTGCAGGCCACGGTAAGAACCACAAGGACGCAGCCTCGGTGCGAGCCACACACCCGATCCCTGCCGCCTGCGGGATCTACTACTTTGAGGTCAAGATTGTCAGCAAAGGTCGAGACGGGTAAGCAGATACGACTCTGTTCAAGCACGATAGACTGTTTAAGGTTGATAGAGTGGTGCAAGGGTGACGTATTTTTGTAGGCCAACCCGGAAGTTAGCATCACACTTGTTCCCTCGAGAAGAAAGCCGGTGGATACTGTCTGTCTGGAGTTCTGTGGTTTTATTTTCCTCCCTAATGTGTCAAACATCACTTTATCAGAGTGTACTTACTTTGTTTCCTGTGGTTGTTTTGGTAAGGTCAGTCATCCCGGGGTCACCGTGATGACTCGTGAATTTGTGAACTTGCTCCAGCAGCCTTTCCCTCACCTTGACTCTGCATTAAAAAACAGCAATCTTGATATGACTGTTCCAAGTCCATTGCCAAACACTCACTCACAACCACTATCAGAGCAGCTTCAGCCTCGTTGCCAATATCTGCATCAGCTGTCCTGTTCTCCAAACAGTTTAGTGCCACGACAGAAAGAGAGTTGCACTAACAGTGGCGGACATTGAAACTCATCTGCTGTGTCGGTGAAAAATAGGGACGTTACAACCCAAAAGTGGTGCCCTGGCCCATCAGATCTGAGGGCCATAACCTGACTGTCGAGGTTCTGTGTAGACGCACCAGAATTATTCAAATGCGACATTTGGCCCAGTTATTTCTAGAAACATGAATTATAAATGTACATCAAAAAACAGCAGAGAAGCAATGTCGAATTTTAATCGTGTTTTAGTGGTTCTTGATGATACATTTTTTTAAACTATTATTAGAAAAATAAATCTTAGTAGTATTCTGCAGGCACTAGTGCAAACCCCCCCCTCAAAAACTATCTTGTTCACATCTGGTTTCACAGATTGATCACGCTATTGCTTGTACTCGTATGTTGACCCGAGTACACTCTGTGCTAACCCAATGTTTACCCCTTGATTAAACCAATCCAGGCATTGTTTGCTCCAAGATAGCAGCCAGAATAGCTGACATCATGCCCTGCTCTTGAATTAACTGAATTAAATTGTACAGAAAGCGACATTACTGCCCCTTAGCTTAAGCATTTGCTGGCCTTGTTGTGGTTGTTGATCTGTACGAGTGACTCTGCAATTACTTTGCCAGGTGCTCATTCCTGGCTTTAAAAACTCACTTTTTGACTTGTACTCCTTCTCCTGGGAACCAAAACTCTCCTCCATCCTCCCCAGCAATAGTCTCAGGTTGCATAATATACTGTTAACACTCCTCAGTTCTAGTTGAGCACCTCAGTGCGAATAGAACAAACCAGTGGTATAAAAGACAACTGTGTTGTGGGAGTGTCTGTATGTGTAACTGCTACCTCAGCTGTAAATGGAAAGCCTTCCAAAGCATCTTAGCGACTTGAGTTAAAACACCAGACAGCACCGGTGTGACTGTCTGGAGTGATTGGACACTTGCATTTGAAGAATTGGTCAAAGGCTCAGTCAGATTTATTTAGTTTGACCGAAACTATGATTGTAATCTGATACAAAGCAAAGTCTAGGTGATCTGATGTTTCTATCCTTTTAGAATATCTCTCGGTGCTTCAATCGCTTTAGTGATGACTTAATGATTTCATCACCCGGGTAATCCTTATCATGTTTTGCCATGCTAGCGTCTTTAGGACCCAGCTGATATTAGTTGACCTGCATTGCCATGCAATTTTGTGCAGAAATTCATGGTCTCCAGAGGATGAGGCCTACTGACGTTGGTCTTATCCTGACCTTTTGTCTAGCACCAACAGCAGCTCAAAGTTTTTACTAATCGAGTGAAATATCTCAACAACCACACAATTTTGTAAAAATGTTCATTGTCCGCAGAAGATAAACCCTTCTTAAGTGATTCCAAGACTTTTCTCAAGCGCCACCATAAGAAATATCAATTATTCAGTGAAATGCCTCAACAACTGTTGGATGGATTCCAGTGAAATGTGGTGCAGACATTTATTTCCCCCCTCAGGGTGAATTGTAATATCTGTGGTGATCCCTTAACTTTTAATTTAAGGCCAACATAGAAAATGTTCAACTGATGTTAGCTTTTAGCTCAAAGTACAGCCTCTCAGAGCTGATGGCATAGCAGAGAACACTTTGTCTTGTTTTATAACGCCAGACCAAATTATGAAATCGCCCCAAGACAAACAGTTCTCTGGCGCGATACTGACTTATTCCTGTCACTCTGCGTCACAGTTCTTGTCTCACCCTCACTTCAATTTATTCGACAACTTCCTTAAAAACATCTTCCAGTTGACTAATGTGTCACTGCGTGTCTCTTCCTCCTCTTACATCCTAGATGTCACTGAGGAATAAGCAGGAAACTTGTGAATAGGGCCGTCCATTCGGCTCGGACAAGAAATAAGTCATTGCTGGGATTTGAGCGATGACATCGGCATGTGCCAAAGCGAGCCGAGACTGTGCCAGACACATTCAACTGACAATATTGATGACTCGTTCAATTGGGCAAAAAGGTTGTTTTTTTTCTTACGCTGTGCGTAAGCTTTCTTACACGGAAAGGATGCAGCCCAGACGCTTATCCTCGTGTGACGGACTTATGACGTCACCGCTGGCCCTTAAGCTTTTCATCGCTCGCTGTCACTTTTGATGTGACGATTCTCCCTTTTGAGGGAGCTCACTCTGCCATAACTAGTTCACATGTTGGGGAATAAGAAAGGAGATCAGAGACGGTGTGTTCAAAGTTACGTCTGCCTGATGCTGATCTGAATATATTTCACAGTTAACCCAACCTAAGCGTTGATACCCTGGGGTGGTCACGGATATGTTTAAATGTTGGTGCATGCTGTGTAAAATCTACTAAAGTTTGAATTTTTCCTTCTCTTCTTGTGTGCAGGTACATGGGCATCGGCCTGTCTGCCCAGGGAGTCAACATGAACAGACTGCCTGGTGAGTAACATGTGCATGATGTCACCATAACATGACCAGCGTGGGGGATAGATGGAAAGCTAGATAGGCATTTGTCAGATAGATCAATGCTGACATTAATTTAAGGATGTTACAGTGGGCAAGAAGGGTAGATGTCAATATTAATTGATGAAAGGATGGTGGGACAACAAGACCGAGTAAGTATATAAGTATTCCCAACGGAACATATGGCGAGTACTTAATCACGCCAATGTCCAGCGATAACTTTGGCTCGCTGACCTGGAGCCAGCATTTCAAACACTTAGCGGTCGGATCGGAACCATTGCGTTGGCAAGCCGGGGAGAAAAAAAGACATGTCATGCAGCTTTCTTTTCTTCTTTTTTTTCGAATTTGGTTACACACAGGACAGGACTCTGGAGGAGTTGGCCAAAACATGACCCTGAACTTTCCTAATTACTTATTGGCCCACCTTTCCAGCCCTTCAACCCCATTGGCTAAGATTACAATCAAGCATTGACGGTGCTGTACGGTGGTTGGTTTACTTAAGCCTTTACATCACTGAATAGGGAGGTATTATTTAGCAATGTAAACACTGAAAGAGGGTTCATTGTTAGAACAATTAGTCATTGTTTTCATCCCGGCCGTGGACATGTTTGGTGCCGGAGTACTAGTGGGGAGAGATGGTGTGGACGGACGATATCCCCTCGTGTGGAGGCAACATACAGATGTGGATGACAGGAATGAGGAAAGTGACAAGAAGCGGATTTTTCGGATAAGCGAAAGTAGCCAGAGAAGTGCCAACATTTATGAGATTTGGGGATGAAAGTGGGAGGACACTAGGCCGTGTGGCCTTGCTATAGTAATTGGATGTGGCTTGTGGATTCCGTCTGACAGCTGCAGAAAGAACATGTCGAGCATGTCACCGAGCAGTCATATGGATCAATGACATGATGTTGACTCTGGCTTGCTGTCTGACCTCAGAGTACTCTGACTTATGACAAACACTGCTTCTCACTTTGGAATCATAGATTGCTCAAACTGTATATTCCATAGAAAAAAAATTTGGTCCTAAAACACCAAAATATATGAATATAATATGCATTTTTATATACAGGATATTTGTGTGAACGTGTTTCTCACATATCTAACGGTGTCATCACAATACAATCTGTCAAAAATAACCTGTTAGTGTACTTTATTTGTTTAAATTATGAATTACATAGTGCGTTTAAGTAATTCCACATTTGATCTCATACGAACAACCATAAAACCAATTGGATTATTAACTGCTAGTTCATTATTGAAAGCATCACAGCCGTTCTAACCTTTAGTCCCTATTATGGCTTAAAGGTTCCGTGTGGAACTTTCTTGTAAACAAACCAAAGTCATGTTTATATTCTGTGTGACTCACCAAAATGCATTGTGTGTATCCTTGAGGTCCGTCAAAAGTATTGAATGCATTTTTTTGGCGTTGTATAACATTTGCAAAGCCAACTTTTGTAATATTCCCAACCGTGCGTTGTTTACACTCATGTTTGCTAGCTAGCTTCATTGCTACATTTGTTGTTGCGTTACAGCCACCGACTCTCCATCGGCGGATTAGCTTGTAATTGGCGACAGAAATGTGTATCGGGATGCCCATCTGCTCACGTGCATGTATGCCCACTGGTCAGCCTCAGAACGCCATCTAGTGAGCCACAGAGGTACTGCCAAATGGTTATATTATATTATAAAAACCTTTTTGAGTAATTTAGAGTACATTACATTACAGTCATTTAGCAGACGCTTTTATCCAAAGCGACTTACAATTCAGATTCTATCACATACACCGTAGGCACAGCTACGGGAGCAATTGTTTTGGGGGTTAAGTGTCTTGCTCAAGGACACATCGACATGCGACTAGCAGAGCCAGAGCCGGGGATCGAACCACCGACCCTCTGATTGAAGGACGGCCCTGCTCTCCACTTAGCTACAGTAGAGACAACATGTTTTGTTAGTTAGTTAGCTAGCTAACAGAGACACAAAATGGATCTGTTATTGAAACCTAAAAGTAATGTGGGATACAATCCTGCTGCAATTCTTTGGTCATTGCTGCCAACAGAAGCACACCACATATTTACAGCTCAGTTTATACTTTCTCCTGTTTTTGGGAAGTTGGTCCTCAGAATGTTTTAACAATCAGTAGTGGGCCTTAAGTTCCAAAAGGTTGAGAACCCCTGAGCTGAAAAACAGACACACATGGAAAGATGTTGCTCTATAGCGCCACTAGTGATCATAAAGTCCACAGTGTACCTTTAAGCCCCAAAATACTGGTTCGATCACCCTACATTTCGCTTAATGCAAGACAATGGACATTCATTGGCAAACTCCCATATTTTTCAAACTCCATTCCCCAGTGTGTAACCTCGTCTTACTCGTGTAAATTTATTGTCTCCACACCCAAACTGAGATAACCCAGATGACATCACTGTGACATCATCAGAGTTGTTTTTATGTCGAAGCTTCTCCAGAGCCGCAGATTACATTATACTTTAATATAACAGTACTCATCGTGATAAGTCAATTGACTTTGATGTGTAAAATGAGTGGAGCTCCCCTTTCATTAAAGTGTTCTGTAGTTGTTGCTTTTATTCAGCTCAACACAAAACCTAACCACCAAGTATGAAATAACACAAGACTAAACCAAATTCTAATTTGAAAAATTCTAAAGATAGAATAGAATACACTTTATTACATTGAATTACAGTGACGGAGCCAACCCACTCGGCAAATACCGAACTTGGTCAGTGCCCCATGGCGTCTGATACCGAGACACCCTGTATTTCAACTAACTTCAATGTTAACGCATCATTATTAGACAGTCGGAGCAACTGACTCAGTATAAAGAGCCAGAAAGTCCGCTTTTACAACAAACGCAGACTTTCACCCAGGTGACCGCTGTTCTTATCCCTTTTGAAAACAAGTCAACGCTCACTTTTTTGAACTTACTTTTCTTACGTAACGTACATGCTTAACTAAAGTCGCGTACGTTAGTTATGTAATAAACTGACGTATTTTACAGAACAAACCGAGTTGGTAGTGAGAATGTGGCGACAGACCAGCTTTGATTTGTTTATTTTCTTAATATAACATGGCACGCACATCAGTCCTCCTATACTTAGGGCCCTTTTTCAAGTGACTTTGTTTACATGTGTGAATAAAGTTTGACTCAGACCGCTGCCAATGAGTCCACTGACCGAATCCAGAGAACAAAGGTGCTACTATAAAAGATTTAAAGAGAAAAAAAAACTCCTCCAAGCCTTTGTCTACTGACGCATAAACATGTATTGTGTGCTGTGCACCAACTGTCTGTAAGCTATTTTCCAACAAAATGGTAATGCAGACTGTGACATGGTCATGTGATTAGAAATGGATTTGGAAAAACGCACGTCCGCACACATAGGATGACATCCATTTCAGAGATCTCTGAGGACACGGGAGGAAGCGTAGTAGCCCTATAGTAGCCTAGAGCCTGAATAAAGCCTCTCCTAACCAATCAGACCACGGCTCTGCTCTGACCAATCAGGTTCTGGGGCTTCCACACCACGGCTGGGGCCTGTTTGACCTGCGCATATTGGACGAGTCAAGATCTGTCCGGTGGCCGCCGTTTGTGGAATGCTGCGGCGGCCAGTATACGGCCATATATGTATATGTATGTATATATATGTGTGTATATCTATATATATATATATATATCTATATCTATATATATATATCTATATAT